AATTATACTTTCAAAAGCGAAGCAAAGCCAACTTTTTTATTATCTAAAAGTAACACAGTCCAAAGCTAGAAACCCATGGCTATTTGGTGAAGATTGAGATCTCAAGTAAACAAGCTAAACAAACAAAGTTGATTTACAATTGTGAGCAATATCAGGGCAAAGTAATGTGAAGAATGTCACTTTGTTGCATTATTTGATGGTACAGTCACAAGCACAACACTTGATAGCTTTGCCTGGAGCACAATAGCAGACGTGCACGACGATTAGAGGTGCTGATTTAGCGTTTTTGCGTAATCTCGCTGCCCAGTAGTTTTTGCCAGCTTTTTTATTGTAGATGCACTTGGCAGAATGTCCAATCTGTTTCCTGGAAATTGAAGGCTGTTCGCATTTCTTCGTTGGAGCTTGAAATGGGGGCTCTGGTGGAGTAAACAAAAGAATTGTGGAAGCGTTTGTAGAAGCTATTGAGCGCTTTCCATTCTTTTTTCCCTTAGCAAGTTGTTTGCTTCCTTGATAGGAAGCTTTCAAAGGTAATGCTTCGATTGGAGGCTCTTCAGTTAAAATTACTGGCAGACTGGGTTCTGGTGGTGTAGGAGAGGTGGTCATCTCGGATTTGAAAGATGTCGAAAGATGTTTGGTTTGCGTTGATCTTGCAGGGAACAAATCTCCCAATGGCTTCTCCTCTGAGAGTGGCTCCGTGTTCCCCAATATAACCAGCTCTGGCTCTTCTTCTGAGAAATCTGATAGAACTGAATCTTCGGACGAATGGCGCGAGTTTGCATAGGCCATTTTATGTGCTTCCGCTGGTGTCGGAGCTTTTACCTTTGGCTCTGGTGGCGATGGCGTGGTTTTAACTCTGGGAATCAGAGGTTTGCGCAATTCCATAAATGTTAGCAGGTCTGAAGGTTCTGAAGGTGTTTCGGAAAGAAGCTGAGGAGCTCTTTGATGAGCGGTTTTGGACGGCAACGATACTGCTTCAACTTCCGTCTGAACTTTGCTGAATGATCCAGGCGATTTTTGCCCAAGCAATGTAGGATCAAGACAAGGTTTTGGTGGAATTTTTGGTCTATCATTTTGTGGATTTGAAAGTATAGATTTTGTAGGAATCTCAGATTTCTTTGCAGACTTCTTTGTGTTCCTAGAACTTTTCTTTGCAATAGCTTCTCTTCTCTCCTTCAAAATGTGACTGTCACTACTTTCTGAATAAGGAGGCAAACCTGCAAAATTATCTCGAATGAAAGTTGGCCTTGGCAGCATTCTAGGCTTTACATTTGACTCTTGGCTCGTCATAGATAGTGTCCTCGGCTTCGGTGTTGGCCCACGCACCATCTTCACCGGTGTCTTTCCGACAATTGATCCCTGCGTCTCTCCGTTTACCTCAGAATTCCTGCTTATCATTACGACTTCCTTCTCTTTTAAGGAATGTGAACGATGTGCCACTTCCGGCACATTATCAAGCGCAATTGACGTCAAAACTGAAATACAACACTCTGTCATACAGTGAGTAGGTTTGAAAAAAATACAAAAATAAGGTTATAGACCATAATAGACTGAGGGAATTACATTGTGGTCTAAAATTCATGCCTACACATTTGTAAATTGTGGTAAAACTTCCTAATATCCTCACCGATAG